GAGATGTGGCTCAGGGTTAAGTGCCCCTGGGTTCAATCCCCGGTACAACAACAACCTCTTAAAGGTTCTATCACCTCTCCCATCATCACACTGAGGACAAACTTCTGACTCAGGAACCTATGGGAACAAATCTTATCCAAACCACAGCAGTGGAGATTCAGGTGGGGACAGCCAGGGGGCACCCGAGAGACAGCTGGGCATGTGGGTCTGGAGCTCAGACTTCTGGAGACAAGTTTGTGAGTGACCAGCAGAGGGATGGAAATGAAGCCATGCTCACAGATAGCTTGGGAGAGAATCTGTGCCGTGAGAAACGAGAGGGCCTAGGACCAAGCCCTGCACAGAGTGGCCTGAGAAGAGGAGTCCTCGAGGAGACCCCTGTGTGGGGTGAGACAGCTCTCTTGGCCACGATGGAAATTTGTGTTGTCCTTTTTCACGAAGTTCACGTGAGAAGACGCGGGTTATTGGCCTTTTAGGTATTTTTCTTTGAGGGAGATGAGTTGGCTTTGGATGCCATGATTCACCTAATCTCCGCAGGCCTGCCAGTTGAGGCCCTTGGCTCACACAGTCCTGTCCCTTCTTTAAGTCTTGGCCCCAACTCAGCTCAGATGTCTTGGGTCTGGAAGGGGAGGGCGTGCCAGGCTGGGCCTCAGTATGAGCCAAGGCCTGGGCAGAGGAAGGACCCAGTGTTTCCAGGGAAAAGTAACTGATCCAGTTGGCTCGACCAGAAGGTCTGTGTGAAAGGCAAAGCTATCATGAATCAATCAAGGGAGACTTTGATCGCTCCGCCAGTTAGGTAGTGTACGAGGTGTCTATTGCTGTCTTACAGATGGCCACAAATGTGCAGGTGTTATTTTACAAAGTAGCTGGAGGTCAAGCATCCCAGAGTGGCTTAGCAAGGTGGCTCCAATTCAGGGTCTTTCTTGTAGTTCAGATGTCAATTAGGGCTGCAGTTGTCTGAAGACTCTCAGGGTGTCCTTACTCCCAGGCAAGATCTCCTCAGATGGCTTTTGGCAAAGATCTGGGTCCCCACCCACGCATGCAGAAGTCTCATGGTACAACATGGTAGCTGGCTTCCACCAAATCAAGTGATCCGAGAGGGAGAACCAGGCAGAAGCTGCAACCTCCTTTATGGTTTAGATGCAGGAGTCACATGCCTTCGGGGTGGAATGAGGAGGAACTGATGCGGAGGTGTGGCCTCGAGAGAGCAGAAGCTCCAGGGCTCAGCCCATTGTCTCACCTTCTTGTCCCTCTTCCACTTAGTTCGGTCACGCAACACCCCCTATGGCCGTTACCTTGAATGTGTCTCCTGCACCTCATCCGACATGAGCTGCGAGAGGGGCCGGGAGCAGAGCCTGCAATGCCGCTACCCTGGAGAGCAGTGTGTCGAGGTGGTGACCCACCGGAGCCTGGAAGGTGAGCCTCCACCTGCTGGCAACTTCTCCTTTCTGCTCTGCTTCTCCCCAAGTTGCATTTAGCAGAGATCCCAACGTAACAGACATTTGAGCAAATGATCTAATTTTCTCTCACTCACCAAGTCCAGGGCCCTTAGGATAGCTCCAGAGTCACCAGCAACCTAGATGTCTCCTCATTTCTTATGTAGCGCTTTCATTCTCAAGACTGCCTCATAGTCTGATATGGCTGCCAGAACGCCAGGCCTCATGTTCAAGTTCCAGGAAGTAAGAAGGGGCCAAAAAGAAGGACTCCTCATTTTGTAAGAGTTTTCCTTCTTCCATAAAGTACTTCCATTTGTATCATATTAGCCAGAACTTGAACACATGACGGTGAGACCCAGGGAGGCTGGAAAATGTAGTCTTTTGGCAACCTCTATGGCTACCCAAAATAAAATGGCAAAGGGATAAAGGGAGAAGCAGAGAATGGTCAAATACCTACTGCAATGGGCAACCCAGTCTCGGCTCCTCATCCATGATCTGACCTCTGACCTCTCTCTTTGACTCCACAGGAAACACAAGGGATGAGCAACACTCCCGGGGTTGTGGCTATCTTCCTGGCTGCCCAGGTCCCACTGGCTTTCACAACAACTACACTTTCCACTTCCTGCAGTGCTGTAACACCACCAAATGCAACAGGGGCCCAGGTAAGGGGCATGGGAACTGGCATGAGGCCTGGGACTGGGACAGGGAGGCTCACCCAGGCAGACTCTCCTGGCCAACTGCCACTCACCCACTCTTGGACAGTCCACTCCTCTCCGACTGTCCATGTCCTCTCTGAAAAATGGGCCTAGCAAGCCAGGCGCGGTAGCACATGCCCATAATCCCAATGACTTGGGAGGCCGAGGCAGGAGGATCACAAGTTCAAAGCCAGCCTCAGCGACTTAGCAAGGCCCTAAGCAACTCGGTGAGACCCTGTCTCTAAATAAAGTACAAAAAAGGGCTGGAGATGTGGCTCAATGA